TGCCCCATCTGCAGGGTCCCTGAGTGCCCCAGCCACAGGCCAGCCTCTGCCTGGGCAGGAGCCCTGTCCTGGCCCTGCTGGGCAGTGCAGTCACCACCTCCTGTTCTCTCGTAGCTTTCCGTGCCCTGCTGCAGATCCGGGCGGTGAGGAAGAAGCCGGGGGCTCTGTCACCAGTGTCCTTCAGCCCTGTCCTGGCACAGAGTGTGGACCATGATGAGCACTCTGTAAGTACCTGCTGAGCCCTGTGCAAAGCCTGGCTGCTGCTCTCAGCCTCAGCAAGCAGCTGCTGGGTGCATGAGTTGCTTGGACTGATGGCTGGGACCTCAGGAGGTTTGGTCACACCCTCCACTGAGGGCTTCCCAAGCAGTGCTGCCTTTTCTTATCAACCTGCTGGATTAAAGGAAACAAACCAACAGAAATCTCAGGATGAGAAGGTTTCTTGTTGCCTGGCCCAACAGAAAAGTGACAGACTCTGGGCATGACAGGGTGGGAGCTGTGAAAACAGGGCAGAGGGGTTCCAGTTTGACTTGCACACACATCTCTGTGGCAGCACACATAAAATACCCTTGGCACTGGGGGTCCAGCATGGGAGCTGTGGCAGTTCCCTGGGTGTCTTGGCATGCATGTGAGGGAGTGTGGGATGGGAAGCGTGGTGCTGGTGGCACCAGGGCCCAGTTGCATGCCCCAGTGTGGGAAGGGCAGCAGCTCTCTGCCTGAGCAGCACTGTTTATCTTCAAAGCTGGCTCTGGTGAGACACCAAGATTAGCATGAGAAGGACAAGTGCATCTAGATCATTCTACAGGCTTTCATGGAACTGATACTGTCACAGGAAAAGGTTGGGTTTATTCATCTGCCCTCTGCTGCCTCCAGCTGGGGCTGAGGAATAGGGGGATGAAGCCTGAGGGTTGTGATGCAGAGTGTGGTGTGTGGAGGACATGGGTGCTGTCACCTGCAGCGAGGTGAGGAGATGCTGTGTGTCTCTTCCTGTCACCTAACCTCTAGAAACAACTCCTTTAAAACATGGTTTTCTCTTGACAGCACCCCTTTAAACCCCTTAAGGTGAGCTCTGTCTCCCTGCCCAGCAGGAAGCCTAGGAGGGAAGTGAGAACAGTAAGTGGACTTGGCTGGTTGCACTTGGCAGCTCTCTGCCAGCAGTGTCACCTGCACGTGGCAGTGTCACCACGAGGGCTTGCTGACACGCTGGTTTTGGCCTGTGCCCTGCCAGGCTGTGACACTCCACATCCCTCACATTGCAGTGAGATGCTCTCACCCTGCACAGATGATCACTGACATCCCTGGTTTGCCTGTGGAGGAACGAGCCAGAAGGAACAGCTTGGCACAGGGCTCTGGTGCTGACTCTCAGGGACTGTCCCTGGCTCATTTATGGTTCCTGGCCAAGATGTTTTCACAGCTTCATAGGACTGTGGGCAAGCTGCAGTGCCCACAGCTCACCCAAAAGCTTCCTTGCACTTACCTCATCCCCTTGGCAGTTTGGTGTGGGCACATCTTGGTGTGGTTTGTGGTGCTGGCATGTAGAGGTGCAGCTGGAGCTGGTCTTGCACTCAGGCTGGTTTGCTTTTACAGGAACAGGAAGGATGGAGCTTGTCTTGGCTGGGGAGCCTCTGAGTGGGTTTGGCAGTGTGTGACTGGAGTGCTGTGCTGGGGACAGCATGGATGGCAACTGTGGGGCTCCAGGAGCTGGGAGGGGGAAACCTGAGGGAGCCCCCAGGCCAGGCAGGCTGTTTGTGCCCTTTGTGTACTCCCACCAAATGCAGCCATGGCTGTCATCTCTATCAAGGACATTGCAGTTTTCTTTTGCTCAGGCCAGCTCAGATGCTTGGCCTTGTAGGGACACGACTTGCTGGGCTTGAAGGTCTGGAGTAAACCTGGTGCTGGTTCAGGTTTGAACCATTCTGGCTTGACCTGGCTCTCTGCAAGGCTCCCACAGGCACTGGCAGTGTTCCTGGGGGCTGGTGTGAGTGTCCCACGAGGGAGTGGTGTCCCAGTGAGGGTGTCCTAGCCATTGGTGGGAAATCCTCCTGCAGCCTCTGAGCTGTGCTGTGCAACCTGAGCTTTCCCCACAGCAAAAGGCAGCCTTTGAGCCCTCAGGGCCTGCTCTGCACAGTCAGGAGAAAAAGCCCCAAACAGGATTCCAGGGGGGTTTGTCTCCCTGACTTTTCTGCACACAGAATAGCACAGCTGGGCTGCTGTCTGCAGATGGAAAGTTTTTTGGAGATGGCTTTTTGGCCCCACCACCTACAGCTGGCAGCAGCTGGGAACCCATTCCTTGTTTAGCTGAGCTGTTTATCTTCAAAGCTCCTAACCCTCACAGGACCAGTCCTGGGATGTGGGCTGGTGATTGACTCCACTCATCCTTCCCTCTCCTCCTGTGACCACAGGTGAGTCAGTTGAGCACTCAGTTCTCACCAAATCAGGGGCTGTGTTGGACCAGGCTGCTGGGCAGGTTCATCTGCAGGTGTGACTGGGACATGGAGCACACAGGAGCTGTGGAGGTTCATGGCCAGGCTTAGCAGCACGGTGCCATCCTCTGTACAACTTAGAAACACCCTCTGGAGGACACAGGGCTGAAACAGCTCAATTTAATGTAGCCTGAGCTGTGGGAGTGTCACCTCTTGATTTGCATCAGACTGGGCTGAGCTGCCTGTGGCTCCTGGGCTGCAGCATGAACCCCATTTTTCTCTGGGTCCACAGGGTCTTTATGATCAGGAGGATTTTTGGAGTTAAACCTGTGTTGATTTAATAGCTTTGCAAGGGTCCCTTTGAGTGGCAGCTTTGTGATTTACACAGGGAATGGGAATTGATTTTCCTTCCTCCTTACGAGGTCAGTGGTTCTGTGATCCCTTCCCTGCCTTTTAGCAAAGGTGACTCTGCATGGGGCCAGTGTTAGCAGTGAGAGCACATGGGAGAAGTGGGGCAGGCTCAAGAACCATCTCTCAGCTGCTGCACACATGCTCCCCTCCTTCAGCTCTGCCTTGGTGCCACTGGTGGTGCTGTGAAACAGCTGCATGTTCCATGCCTGGGAGCAAAGTGGGATGTTCACTGAGCTGGAAGGGTCTCTGAACCACTGCAGGAGCTTTCAGGGGAGAAAAAAATTCCAAACATATTTTATAGCAGCTTTTTAGGAGCCTGCTGCCTCACCCTCCTTGCCCAGCTCTTGAAAGCACATCAGGGGGATGCCCAATCTCTCAAGCACTGCTCTGGGAACTTGCCTGGAGCATCACCAGCATTCCCGGAGGGGATTTTGTGGCTGTCCAGGCAAGGAGCCGAGGTGGCTGTGTGGATGGGCTGCCTGGGGGGCAGAGGGCTTCCATCCTGTGATATTTCCCTAACATGCCCGTGTTTCTCACTGCAGAGCTCTGACAACATCCCCGCAGGCTACGAGCCCATCTCGCTGCTGGAGGCGCTGAACGGGCTGCGCTCGGTGTCGCCCTCGCTGCCCTCGGCGCCGCTCTACGACGAGATCTCCTACTCGGGGGTGGTGGATGGCGTGGCCCCGGCCGGCCGCCCCCTCGCGGCCATGGACAGAGCCCTGGAGGCCGCCCACCAAAAGGGCAAGCGCAGCAAGTCCCCAGACAGGTCAGCAGGGCACGGGGCCGCTCCTCTTGCAGGCCCCAGAACTGGGAGCCAGGAGAGGGCTCTGGCTCCACAGCAAACCCAGAGTTTAGGAGGACAGCAGGTACTTGTGCCAGGGAGGGAACTGGGATATTGTCCCTGTGTTCAACCTGAGGTTACAGCTTGTATCTCCCAAGAGTCTCCCTCTGTCACCAAAAGAAAGAGGATTTTTAACGAGGAGAATTTAATCAGAGAATCACAAAATGGTTTGCATTGGGAAGGGCCATAAAGCTTATCTCATTGCAACTCCCCACTGTGGACAGACAACTTCCACTGTCCCAGGCTGCTCCAAGCTGTCTCCAGCCTGGCCTTGGACACTTTGAGGGATGGAGCAGCCACAGCTGCTCTGGGCACCCTGTGCCAGGGCCTCACCACCCCCACAGTAAAGACTTCAGATGGAAATGTCTCCTTCCCAATGCACTTAGTCCTAGAATTTACATTTGATGTCCAAACCTTAGTGGATTTCAGCTTTCCACGGAGCTCCTCAGGAGCAAAGGAATGGGGAGAGGAGTGACCTGGATTTCAGAGCACAAAGTGCTGAATGGAGATCCTGTAGTTCTTGTCTAAAGGCTCCTCTGTTGGCCCTGTGCTGGAGGGGTTGGGTGAGGATATGGGGCTGCTCAGACCAGACTGGGTTTGCTCCTGGCACTCACTGTGCTCCAGCCCAGATTTTCACCTGGGAAGGGAGCCCTGAAAGTGTGAGGAGCAGTGTGGGACCTGGGCTGTTGTAGCTGTGCTGGAGTTTGGCATCTCTTGGCTCTGTCCCACCCTGCTGCTGCTGCTGTTCTCCATGTGGCCAGCACTGGAGGCCCTGGTGAATCCAGCTCCCCAGTCTGAGCTCCTGCTCAGGAGAGTTGGCTTGTGCTGCCCCCATGTCCTGCAGGCCCCAGGGGGCTGGGAACTCCCTGCAAATGGAGTTTCTCTTGCTGCAGCACACTACGGTCTCCTTCATCCCCAATCCACGAGGAGGATGAGGAGAAGCTCTCCGAGGACTCTGACTCGCAGGCGGTGCTGAGCGGGGGCGAGCTGGTCCTGAGGGAAACCAGCTCTCCAGAGGTGAGTGTGTGCTCTGCTGGGGGGGCTTCTGAGCCACAGCTCTGCTGGGACATGGAAACACCTCCTGAAGGACCATTGCCCCGAGCCAAGAGTCTTGGCTGCCTTGTTTACCCCTGAGGCTCCATGGGGAAGGATGTAGCCACTCCCTGTGCTCCTGGCACCTCTTTGGGAGTGGAAACCACTCAGCTGGAGCCATGGCAGAGCTGAGCTTCCCCAGCATCCTGGGCAAGCCCAGCAGTGTTTGGGGCAGGGGTGGGAGCTGGCCATTAGGAGCTTCCAGTGCCCAGCCCTCCATCCCAGCCTGTGGTGCTGCAGCACTGGGGCAGCCCCCTGCTCCTGCCCTGGAACAAGCCCTGGCCCCGAGCACAGCTCCCTGGAGGAAGCCAGAGCAGGAGAATGGCACAGCAAAGGCTCCAGCTGCAGAAGTAACCTGTACTGTCCCTCCTTACAGAGCGTGGCAGGGGAGGAGATGGAGGAGGCCTCATCGGTGCAGCAGGGTAGGTGTGGCTGCAGCCAGAGCTCAGCTTGGTGTTCAGGGCTGTTGTGGTGGGACAGGGACAACTGGGGGATGAACAAATGAGCTCAGAAACATCCAGCCCCCTAAGTCCATCTCTGAGGCTCTGTTCTTCACCAGGGAAGGGTGCCAGGGTCTTTTCATGGAGGCAAGGGAGCAAAATCCACAGGTTTCCCTGGTTTATTTGCCAAGCATCCCACCTTACTCTGAGCTTTACTCAGGTAGAGCTTTCCATGCCATGAGCTCTCCTTGCACTATTGGGGACACCACCGGGGTCCTGGTGAGAACACATCCACTGTTCTGGGCACACAGGATGGGTCTCTGGTCTTTGGGGTGGGTCTGTGGTGCTCAGTCAGCACCCAGAGGGGACAAGGATGGGGTGACAGAGGAGTGCTGGGCAGCTTTGTGGCACTGTGAGCTGGGCCAGTGTGACCAGCACTCCTGGCACATCAGTGGGGCTGGGGGGGCCTGGGGAGCTTCCTCACATCAAGACCTGGACCCCCC